ACAATGGAAGGACCAAATGCAGAAGGACGTGTCTGCATTTGGACTTGGGATGAAAAACTGGCACAAATCCGCAAAAGGGAGAGGCAATTCGCCAAATTTTTAGGTCTTGGCCCAAACCGACAAACGGTTGTAGTGCCAAACAAGAAAACACGAAAAATAGCATACCATAAAATGGAGAGGAAGCTCGGCCTAACACTTAGCAAAAGTATAAGCGCCAAAATTTTATTATTAATCATATTCTAATGATAAGTCCTCTTTTAATGGATGTAAAGCTATTTTGTTCATAAAATATCTCTTTATTAAACAACTTTAGGTACATTACTTGTCGAATCTCAAGAATATTTCTAATAGTAATGGCCGTAATGGTAAATACTTGGAGTTATAATATTCGATATGGGGCTAATATCTCGCCCTTGATGAATAAATGTGTGTAATTGTTTCTCCTGTGCGTGTCGTCTAAGATGATCTGCCTTTGCAGCGGCCACGGCAACTGTATCATCCACGGGCTGAGGCAATTGTATATACCCAGTATCTGACCTAGCTGCAGCGGATTTGCCACTAGGTTTACCCCTCGCTCCCAAGCGCAGTAAAGCCTCCCGATGAGCTGAAGCGTGAATGTAACGGGCTGCTGCAACATCGGCGGTAAGGGGAACTCCATTTGACGTTTCTTGCGCACGAAAGGGCTGCTGGTGTTGTTGCAATTGCTCTGCGGCTGCGGCACGAGGTAAATTGGTGGCGGCCACACGGAAACCATTGTCATCGGCGGTATAAGCTATGGTTTGTAACTTTCCTGCGGCGTCACGATAATTATACGAACCACGTGTAATGCCGTCTAGCGAACGCACCTCTTGTTTAGCCGAGTGAGGCTCTGCATAGCCGTAAGCATATTGTCCCAAGCCGTCCTGGGTGTTATGGGCATTATAGACATACGGATAGGCGCGTAAGTGCGGTGTAGTGATGTAAGTTACAGCATTACTGCTAGCACTGGCACAGGACACTGCTGCGAATATCCCGAATGCAAAAGTAAGCATGGCGACTTTCATCTCGATTAAGATCGTTTGCTGACTGCAAATTAAAATAACTGTGGACTAGCAAGCGCTACTAATGGATGTTCACTAGCACTCACTTGCTTGAGTTCTGATGCTAACTCCGAAGGTTGTGGGTCCTTTTATATGCGCTCAATCAACACACAAATACATTGATATATGGGCAGTCCTATATACCTGCATACGTTTTTAGTATGTCTGTTGACGCAACATGTTCCTGTTTCCCTGCCAAGAATGCGCCTACTCCTTATCATTCTAAAGATTCTTTGCTTCTTTCGCTTTTGGTTTTTGTCAATTTGTGTGTATGGATTGTGTTTCGTTTTTTTAGTTTTTCTTTTAGCTCAATTTCTACATTCGACCGACCAAAGCCTGAGAGCTCCATGGGGAATCGCATTGGACTGTTGTTGGATTGTTGTGGACAGCGTCAGCGAAGAAGAGGTGTTGCATGCAGCATGCCCATGGCAATTCAGTGATGTACATATACTGGTCAATTTTTTAACAATGACCTACGCAAACATTTAAATATTTGACCAAGATCACCAATTAGCGACCTTGATCAGCCTACTCTTACTTCTTTTAGAAAGTACAAAATTGATGATTTTTAGAGCTTTTTAAAAACTTCCACAATTACATAGACTTCATACATTAGCCATTTGTTGGGTGCTACCCAACGAATTAGTTTCAAATCCCACAAGGAATTATTCATATGATAATTATCATAGTACACAGGGTCTACCACTTGCCGAAATATATTTCTAATAATCATCTGATGATAAGTCTTCTTTCAATGAATGTACAAACTTTTTCTTTCGGAAAATCTCTTTTTATTAGACAATGTTAGGTACATTACTTGTCGAATATCAAAAATGTTTTTAATAGTAATAGTACCTCCATGGGTAACCGTAATGGTAAATACTTGGAATTATAGTATTCGATATGGGGCTAATAACTCGTCCTTGATGAAGAAATTCGTGTAATTGTTTCTCCTGTGCGTGTCGTCGAAGATGATCTGCCTTTGCAGCGGCCACGGCAACTGTATCATCCACGGGCTGAGGCAATTGTACAAGCCCAGAATCTGAACCGGTTGCAGCGGATTCGCTGCCAGTGTTACTCCCCGCTGAAAGGCGCAATAAAGTCTCCTGACCAACTGTAGAGTGAATTGCGCGGACTGTTGCAACATCGGCGGCAGAGGAAGACCCACCTGACGTTTCTTGCGAGCGAAAGGGCTGCTGTTGTTGTTTCAATTGCTCTGCGACTGCGGCACGAGGCAAATTGGTGGCGGCCACATGGAAACCATGGTCATCAGCGGAATAATCTACGGTTTGTAACTTTCCTGCGGCATCACGATAACTATACGAACCACGTGTGATGCCGTCTAGCGAACGCACCTCTTGTTTGGCCGAGTGAGGCTCTGCATAGCCGTAAGCGTATTGTCCCAAGCCGTCCTGGGTGTGATACTGCTGCTGCGTGGGTGTGACCAGCGATGAACTATGGGCGTTATAGACATACGGATAGGCGCGTAATAGCGGTGTAGTGATGTAAGTTACAGCATTACTGCTAGCAGTGGCGCAGGACACTAATGCGAATATCCCGAATGCAAGTGTAAGCATGGCGACTCTCATCTCGATTAAGATCGTTTGCTGACTGCAAATTAAAATGACTGTGGACTAGGAAGCGCTACTAATGGATGTTCACTAGCACTCGCTTGCTTGAGGTCTGATGCTAACTCCGAAGGTTGTGGGTCCTTTTATATGCACTTGATCGACACGCAAATGCATTGAGATGTGGGCATACCTATATCTGTACATATGTATCTACATACGTGCATCTGTTTAGTATGTCTGTAAGTAGATGCAACATGTTCTTGTTTCCCTGCCGAGAATGCGCTTGCTCGTTATCATTCTAAAGATTCTGTGCTTTTTTCGCTTTTGGGTTTCGTCAATTTGTGTGTCTGGATTGTGTTTATTTTTTTTTAGTTTCTCTTTTAACTCAATTTCTACATTCGACCGACCAATGACTGAGAGCTCCATGGGTAAGCATGAATGAATGGCACTGTTGTTGTGGACAGCGTCAGCAAAGAAGAGGTGTTGCATGCTGCATACCCATGATAATTTAGTGATGTTGGTACAAATATTTACCGGCAATTTTTTTAACAATGACCTACGCAAACATTTAAATATTTGGTCAAGATCACCAATCAGCGACCTTGATCAGCTTGTGCGAATGCAAAGTGAGAAAAAATGTTGTAATACATACTGATATAGGTACATTCATACGTACAATGAACAAATCAGAGTAAAAATAGTATAGTACAGAATACGGTTTATATATTAGTGAAAAATAATTGTAAAGAAATACTTGTATCAAGAGTAGGTTAGGTAGGTAGATATGTATATAGGCATTAAGTTGAGGATCAGAAGGTCTATTGTGCCTTCTTGCTCCTTACAGCACCTCGATCAATCCTAGCTAGCTAGGTGGCATCAAGTGCATCTGATTCGGCTGCGGGTTTGGTGACCCTAGGTAATTCTTTCCTCTCCTCGCCACTGCATCACATTCGAGGAGTACGTGTTGAGGAGTTTCAGCTGCCCTATCACAGAAACGGCATGAATCATTACTTCCTAATCTGTAATGACCTGCTGAGGTACCTGTCAGAATTCTTAGTTTGTTTTTTGGGAATTTAATGAGCTTATCATATCTTTTCGTATTGTATGCCCAGGTGCAGGGCTGTGTTATCAGCGCAAGTGAAATTACTAGTCTTGCCGCGTGAATACCATTCGTACAATGGCCTGTCAGGACCCCCATCATTAGCCCTTGAGAGGTAATTGAATTTTTCTGCACCTTTAAGGGGTAACAACGGGTCACTCGTGTCTTGCACTGCATAAAGATAAACGTATACTTTTCCTTTTTTATGTCACAAAAGGAGCTTCACTTTCTTTTGTCAGTTCTATTAGGTATTTAGCAGAATGCAATTTCATTATAGCGAGTACGAAGTATGCGTGTTAGTCTAGCGCTCACTAAGCTAGCAATAGGCGCAACCATCCAAGAGTGTACCGTAGGAGGACAGAGACGTCCCTAGTTGCTCCTTATCTGGGAATAACGTTTTAAGTTTGGCTTTCCAACGGCAAAGTCATCAGCCATGCAGTTTCCTGCGATGACGCTGTATCCCGGTACCTAAACTAGCCTTATTAAAAAGTACTCCGACGGGATTGATAGAGAGGTCAGACATTCCTTTACCGATTTCGATTACACCATCACACCCTTTAGCAGTGAGTCTCCCGCTTCCTTGATGGCAGCTATTTCCACCTGAAATGCACTGCAAAAGTACGGAAGCCTGAATATAGTTTTTGTGTATAGTTTCTGACATCCGAAATCTCCACCAACCCTGAGACGGACTTCTATGAGCCATTTCTGAGGCGCTGTGATCTATGCGTTCAGGGCGAATTCAAAGCCCTCCGGAACTCCAGAGTGTTTCGGAACATTGTGCCCATCCTCGTTTTGAATAATCGAAACTTTTCATTGAAGGATATTTTGGCCATCGGAAAAAATCATACAAACCTGCAAAGGTCCCCAACGAACTCCTGATGCCAGCTACATGACAAGCTGCATTCACTACATATGTGCTGCATAGTGCACATAAATGGCAAGAGGAAAATCCGATTATATGTATGCTCGCGTTCCGTGGAATTCACCACTCATCGCTACGGCTCCATCATATGCTTGGCCATAAAGGTACGAACAATCTATACCTGCTTTCGAAAGATACTTCTTAAAAGTTATTGCTAGGCCATCTCCCGAAACGCCTTCGACTTTTAATTCAAAAGCCTTCACAGAGCTTCGTTGTCGAAGAATCCAGATACCGGACGCGAATCGAGAACTGTTGATTTCCACTTTTTTCGGTTATTTCTTCTGTTTGATATAAAGATCCGTCGTCCCTGTGTCCTCGAGGAGTGATTCTTTATCGATCACACAAAGTAATAGCATCAATGATGGGCTTTAATTTTTAACGGGATTCCTCTATAATTTTTCGTTTTTAACAATCAAGCGTAAGTTTTCGATGCCAACAATGGAGTTTTTATGGTACTCATTTTTCTTTTAATCGAAAATATTTATCATGCATGATGCCAATTGTAAAATGATTTTGTGACAAGTTGACTCAATTTTGCACCAACTGCCAAATGTTTTTTTTCGAAAAATGCAAAAATTTGACCTACCAAATCGTAACCTCTAAATGACCTTCGAACTTCAACTTGTGCTGGACTTCT